TTTGCTATTTGTTTATAATAAAATTGCTCGTGGCGCCGGAGTTCTATTTGCTCCGGCTGGTCTAATTTTTATAAGCGGTGTTCTTCCTGGCCCGGAGATATCCGGGTTTGTTTAGGATGTTTAAACAATAAGTTTAAAATTTCGGGTTATTACTAGGCGCGGTTTATCTTTTCGGGCGCCAGTGTGATTTCCGTTTGCTCTCCTATCGTCTGGAGTCCAAGTCTCCAAACAATAGGAGGTCTGCTCGGATTATTTATTGCTTTTTATTATTACTAGAAGAGAAATTTGTTATGCGTTGGCGCGTCGCGTTGCAAGAAAAAAGGGCCCGTGGAGTCCCCAGGACGTAACACTCGAAAATAGCAAAACCTTTGACTCAGTTAACGCGAAAAGAAGTTAAGTTCGCATGGGGCACAGAACAACAAAAATCGTTCAAAATTTTAAAAGAAAAATTAATCACGGCATCGATACTAGCATGTCCCGATTTCAACCGCGAGTTCATCGTCACGACAGACGCGTCAGGTTACGCGGTCGGAGCAGTCTTATCACAAAGCGACGCGGGGGGGAGATAAGCTCATCGCGTACGCAAGTCGCGTGCTAAACAAGGCGGAACGAAATTATAATACAACTGAAAAGGAATTGTTAGCAATAGTACCGTTAATCACTTTCGACCGTACTTATATGGTACAAAATTTAAAATAATAACGAAGCTCTCCTGTGGCTATTTAATGTAAAAGACCCCGGAGGTTCGAGATTAATGCGGTAGAGATTAAAATTAGAAGAGTACGACTACGAAATCGTACACAAGAAAGGAAAATTCAAGTGATGCAGTAAACGGCCATAAAGAGCCAATGCAGGGTGTTGTGCTTGAAATAATTAGACTCTTGTCAGTTTCGAAACGTTTCGACTATATTTTAAGTCCTTTTCAATCAGTTCTATTGAAATTAACAAAACATATAACACTTATCAACATATTCTTGTTGTAATAATTAAAAAATGTAATTAACAGTTAAAAAGTTATACATACCAAATAAATCAGAAATAATAATTTACAATAAAAAATTAATTAAAAATGCAGTCAACAGTCTATCAATAAGCATGACGAGTATCGAGTACAGACATTACTGTATAAATATCAAATCGATACTAAATCAAAGAACAGAACATCAAAAACAATCAGTGAAAAGAGGCCCTCTACATTTTAAAATTGAACTTTGTTAAGAACAGGGATGTATATGTGTCATGTAAAGACTCAGTGTTCCTCATTAAATTCAGACCACTTACTTGCTTTTTAATAAATAACATTTCAGATGTTTGCCGTTTAAAATAGTTCTGCTCAATGTCTAAAATTCTAACTGACTTCCACACAATCAAAATTATGCCCAGTCTCAACACTATGCTTTGCTATTACCGATGTATCAATTTGACCATTCTTAACACAATTTATATGTTCACTAATACGAGTTTTCAATTGACGTTTGGTTTGTCCAACATAGGATGAATTGCATTGTTGACATGAAATGCAATAAACAACATTTCTTTGTTTCTTTGAAGGTACTAAATCTTTATGTGTTTTAATAAATTTAGACAACTGGTTTAAATTTCTATAAGAGGGTTTAATTGTTTTATTATTAATTTTGATGTGATTGAAATTGATATTGTAGTTATGAATGTAAGGAAGAACGAAATAGAATTTAGCAATCTCTTCCTGATCATATATTATAGAATGTTTATTAAGCTTATTTAACAACAATGTCCTCAATCTCTTATTAATAGTATTAAATATAAAATTTATAGGATAATGTTATCTAACAAAATGTTGATTACAAAATTTAAATTTTTTTCATAAAATAGTAGATCTAAAAGTAAGATGGCCCTATCTACTAGAGAATAGATAGTGCCTATTTTATGACAGAGCGGGTTTGAAAAATAATAATTTAAATAGCGTCCAGAATAAGTTGGTTTGTGAAACCAATCACGCGCGAATCAACCTATTATTCTTTATTATGATTTTTGTGTCAAGAAAACTGAGAGAATCATTCTCTTGTAATTCATAAGTGAATTGTAATCTATGATGATATGAGTTGAAAGTACGAACAACAACATCTAATTGATCTTTGGGAATTGCAAGTACGATATCATCAACGTATCTAAAATAAAACAGGATGTTGAATTTGAAAGTATTTAAAGCTTTAAGTTCAAGGTCTTGTAAAACTAAGTCAGGGATGATGGGTGATAAGGGCGAACCCATAGGTGTGCCGAAAGTCTGTTTATAAATATTGTCATTGAAAGTAAAATAAGTTGATGTCAAAATAAATCGTACTGCCAATATAAACTCATCTTTGCTGATCTTCGTGTGTAGTTTGATGTATTTCCATCTAGAGGAAATGCTATCAATAGCAAGCTCTATCGGAACATTCGTAAACAAAGACACAACATCAAGAGAACAAAGTGTGTAACCCTCAGTTAACTCTATTCCACTAATTTGATTGTACAATTGAAAGCTGTTTTTTATGAAAAAAGGAGAGTTGGGAATACCCTTAAAGATAATCTTGTGCAAAAAAGAAAGGAAAAGCAAACGCAAACGCCGATGCGTTAAGCAAACACCCGGTAGACGACGCAGAGCACGTAAAAGCATTACACACGGTTAGAAGAAGAGCAAGAGAAAACACAAGAAAGACAAAGAGAAGCGCGAACGCGAGCGCAACAGAGAAAAGCGCAAACGCAAGCGAGACAGAAGAACACTCGAGCGCGAGTGAAACGGAAGATAATGCAAGCGCAGGTGAGACAGAAGGAGACGCGAGTACAAGTGCGGAAAAGGAAGAACGCACGAACAAAACAGAAAAAGAATATACTGAAGAAAAAAAAACAAATAATATTATACGAATATCACGACACACCAATCGGTGGTCATCAAGGCATCGAACGAACAGTTAAAAGAATTCGACTGGTCCACGATTGGCTGAATTTGGCAAAGGATGTAGAAAACTACATCAAGAAATGCACGTTTTGTCAACGAAATAAATTAACTCGAAAAATTAAAATGCCCTTGGTAATAACAGATACACCAAATAAGCCGTTCAAAAAATGCGCGTTGGATATAGTAGGGCCATTACCGATTTCAAATAACGGAAACAAGTATTTATTAACTTTCCAGGACAATTTAACAAAATTTAGCAAAGCTATTCCAATAGCTAATCAGGAGGCGAGCACGGTAGCAAAAGAATTCGCTACAAAAATAGTCTGTGAATACGGAATTCCGGAAATCATTCTCACAGATCAGGGTACGAATTTTGTAAGCGACATATTTAAAAATACGTGTAAACTATTAAAAATAAATAAAATTCAAACAACCGCGTATCATCCGCAGAGCAACGGGGTTCTCGAAAGATCGCACCGTACGTTAATCGAATATGTTAGACATTTTATTAACGACGAACAAACCGACTCGGACGAATGGATACCCTACGCTATGTTCGCGTATAATACGACACCGCACACGTCAACGGGATTTACACCCTTCGAATTGGTGTACGGACAGGCGGAACTTCCGACAACGTTGTCGAAGTCACCCGCGACGCGTTACAAAATATTGACGATTACGCACACGAATTAAAAGAGAAAATACGCGCCGCGAACAAACTAGCGCGAGAAAATTTGAAACATGATAAAGAAAAGGCAAAAGAACAATACGATAAAAAGGCAAACAAAGTAAAATTTAAAGTAGGCGATAAAGTTCTACTATATGATGAGACAGTAAGAAGGGGAAGAATGAAAAAGTTAGAAGCATTGTGGATAGGTCCATATATAGTGCTGGATAGACTATCCGACGTAACATACGTCGTGAAAAAAGGAAGACGCTCAGTGCAGGTGCACGCCGACAGGTTAAAACATTATATAGAAAGTTAAAACAGACTTATCCACGGTGAAGTACGAACACTCGCCTTCTAGGCCGGGCCTCTGGGCTGGGTCTCGTCGGGGTCACGGTGGAGGTGGTGAGCGCTGACCGCAATCACCGCCGACCGACACAATCCACACTCTTCCGAAGCCGACAGGATGTCATCGACAAATTGACGACAAACACATGACAAGCCACGAACCGGGTGGTTTCCTCGCAAAAGGAGCAACCTGGACCGTCGGCGGGCCGGTAGATGCACAAGTCCGGCCCCTCGGAAAGCACCGGGGTGTGTTCCTGGTGGCCGGGATGGTGTGAAATGAAGTGCACGACCCGGGTGGTGGCTACCCAGCACAGATAACAAAGCTCAGAAGACACCAACACAATGAGGGAGTTGTGGTCGCAACAAAAGTCGCACAAACGAGGCCACGAGGCCTCTACCCCACACACACAACAGGATGGAACACTGGCGGCTAGAAGATCCATAACGAAAAAATAAAATTAAAAGAAAACACAAAAACAATTTTGTTTTCCTCAAAACAATCGCGGTCGAGAGACAGAACACGACTGACAAAACGGACGTTGGTACTTTACGAAGACTCTGGTCGAGGTAGCATGAGTATACAATATAACACCATAAAAAGGAGAACGCAGATATAAACTGCTAACTTGGAAAATTTAGACAGATAAAACAGTTCTTCGAGTCCTACAGGGGTACAAAAGGCGTGTGTATAAAAGTAATATAGTCATCTTCTTATCTTACAGACTTCCGTTGATAGCGTTAGCAGTGTTTCAACTACAGTTCTTGAACGGTGAAACTGAACCAACCATGTATACGGTAACACAGTTTTAGCACAATCCCGGACTTTATTATGAGAAACAGGGAACGTTACTGCGAGCTGTAGAAAAATGGAAATTAGTAATTAAATTAAACATAGCAGCGTTAGAAATAAGAATAAACCAGGCTCAAAAAATTTTAAAAACCACTAATAAGATATGTCAAAGCAGCGACATTTATGACGAAAGTAGAATAAGTTGTCAAGATGTGTATACCAAAGTGATAAGCAGAGAACGAGAGGTAGAACACATTTTTAGCAAAATTAGGGTAATGGTAGGACTGTCACCACGCAAACGACGAGGTTTGGTAAACGGAGTAGGGTCAATAGCAAAGCAACTATTTGGCACAATGAATGCAAGTGATGAAAAAATTATAACTGAACATATTGGTTTGTTGGAAAATAGACAGGAAGCGGAAGAACACGCTATAAAAAATCACCTAAAGGTGCTGAACGCAACGGTAACACATCTGAATACTGTGGAAAGCGTCATTCAGAAAAATGAAGAAAGGTTAGCAAAATCAGTATCAAAAATAGTAGCATCAGTAAATAAACAAGCTCAAGGTAATCTATTGGGAAAATATTTGCTTTCAGTGACAAATATTCTACAAGAGCTAGAGTCAGATATGAAAGAAATAATGAGGTTTGTAACGGAACCTCACAACAAACTGGCACAGTTAAGTTTAATTCCCATTAAACGAATAGTACAGTGTATGCAAGAAACAAATAATCATTTACCACATGAATTACACTTTCCATTCAGTATTAACTTAAAAAACTGGATACAGATAAAAGAATTTGTAACGGTTGCTGTTTATTGCAAGGACTCAAGTGTTTTCGTAATGTTGCACGTTCCACTGGTACACACCATAGTACATGGTGTATACCGCGTAATACCGTTGCCGGTGCATGTACACGACAACGTGTTTGCGGTAGCAAACGTACAAAATAACATTGTTGCAATAGACAGCAATCGACAGACGTATGCCTTATTGACTGAAAGTCAATTAGCAACTTGTACAAATGTTCAGGGTTGTTATGTTTGCGATAAGGTTTCGACACTTTTTAAAGTGCAGGCGGACTCACCGTGTGAAAGGCATACGTGCGTGAGTTAAGTAATTATCTAACTTGCAAAACAACGTACGTAGTGTCAAACCATACTATCTGGATTCAGTTGAGACAAGCACGCGTATGGCTGTATTCTACGTTGAGTGAACAATCAGTATCATTTAAGTGCGAAAAACAGCCTAGTAGGATAGAAATACTAAAAGAAGTGGGCGAAGTTGCGTTGTCCGATCAATGTGGGTTTCAACCAGGGATATTCTTGTTAGTACGAAGAAAGTAGTAGAACATACGCAAGTAAATACTTACCTACCACGTTTCAATATCACATTTACACGCACGAATAACGACACACCACTAGTTACCAGGGACTCGGACCGAAATGAAATTTCGGTCCGTTTACGGTTACGGTCCGATGCTGTACCTGATTTTCGGTTTCGGTTTCGGTTCCGGTCCTTTTATCAATAACGGTGACCGTAACCGTTTGGATATCGATTTTTTTCGGTTACAAGTGTTTAAGTATCTATTGTTAAATTTATAATGAATACAAAAGATAATGTAATAAATATAATATAAATTGCATAGTATAACAAATGCACGTTTATTAACCAAAATAAATTAATTTATAAATCATTTGAATGGGAAATTTCGTCTTGAAAATCATATCTTGTCTTTTTTGCTTTTGTCTTCTACAGCAACTTGCAGTGTTGCCAATGGTCGTTTCAAGTTTGTTATTGATTTCCTATAACATATTAATCTTACGTAAATTATTATAATACATGTAAATTGTTGTACTAAAAAAATTTAAAAGTAACCTTCTGTGAATATCCTGTCATATCGCTACTTACCTAAAACTAAACACTTATAATCTTAAAAGGTTAATTGAAATTTTCAAACTTTTTTAATGCTATAAAAGAACTGGCAAAATTGAGGTAAAATTTGTAAGGCTTTAAAAGTTTAGCTTTACCTTTATAAAAATCTCATTATGTAATATTTATTTTATGTTCAAAACGTAGAAGAGAAATTCCCCTTTAACATCAACTGTGTATCTACGAAGAATTAAAAATATGTAAGATTATAAACATACGTGTCATCTTTGTTGATAAAAATTCGATTAGCTCTGGCTTCGAACACAATCTAATAAGTTGCCAATGACGACTGTGATTTTCAAATTCTTCCAAATAAAAATTCTTGTAAAACGTTTAACAACGTTAGAAAAATCCGAACCGAAATAAACATCGGAAAAAGTTTTCGGTTCGGTTACGGTTCCGGTCCATTAGTCTACATAATATTTCGGGCCGGTTTTCAGTTTCGGTTTGACTAAAATAACGGTTACGGTCCGGTTATCGGTTTCGGTTTCAGTCCGGTCCGGATCCTTGCTAGTTACACACAAACTTGAAGAAATAAAATTGGAAAATTTCACACAATGTGAAACAATTACAACAAATACACAGTCAAATACAGGAAATTAGCAAGAACCTGGGTAACAAGTTTTATAAACAACCGTATTTTGTGTATCCAACAAGCATTTCTGGAATAGTGGTGTTAGCAGTCGTTTGCGTCGTAATTTATGTTGTAGTAAAATATAAAAGGTCGAACAGCCGGCAACAACATGAGCGGCAAGTACGCTTTGCCGACAGTGCAGTTAAACTTCGACCTTCTCGGGTACACCACGCGTACAATAATCAGAGAACCGGCGTTGAAAACGTAGCTACACTTCTGTGATTGTAAAGTCACGTTAAAAAAAAAACTTACTCTGTCAGTTTTTCTTTTCCCAACGGGGGGAGGATGTTATAAGTTAAAAGGAGTTAAAACAAAAAACTTAAAATGGAAACGGCCAATGTGAGCCTGGGACAGAGTTAGTAATGTGTAATATGTGTTAATAAAAAATCTTTTTATTAACGTTTCGATCCCTGGTTGGGATCCTCTTCAGAAATAACAAAAAAAAATGAAAAATAACCGAATTCAAATGACACGTATAATGTGTGTCATGCACATGGTAGACACAAAATATAAATTTACACGTGTTGTTACTCTCAACGTTGTAACGAGAAACAACGAAGAGGATCCCAACCAGGGATCGAAACGTTAATAAAAACATTTTTATTAACTCACATTGGCCGTTTCCATTTCAAGTTTTTTGTTTTACACAATTGGAGCCTTCTACGTTTATTATTTAAAAGGGGTTATTTGGAAACTACTTAGCGTTAGTTTAATTGCAAGATAGAAGTAATTGTTAAAGTATTAGTTTTTGTGTTAAAGATTAGTTGTCTCTTTAACGTGGCTCGTCTTACCTTGGGAGACTGGAATCCGGCACGGATGTCCAGTCAGCAGTCGCGGGACGATATGCGACCGCGCGCTCAAGAGCGTACCGGCCGAAGGTCGCACATGTAGCCGAAAAGATGCAATGATCTACATTGCACCTTTCGGGGACCGGATGTCGCCTGATTTTCCTCGGCCAATCACAAAGTGATTAGCTCGAGGATAAAAGCCGGTGTCCGGGCCGACACGAGTAGAATCGTCTCGGAAAGTGTTGCCGCCGGAGGCTCTGCCCGGCAGAGCGTCGCTCGTCTAACTTGTACCCTACGCGCGATATAACGTGGGCGAAATAAGTGTACATTCAAGATAACGAATAAAACGCAATAGTGTATTTAAATCACAAAAGGCAGGATTCAAGTTGTCTATTAAATTATTTAAAATCATCTCTTCTCGACGTCCCCTTCCCTCGCGGCATCCTCAAGAATCCCACGGGATAACAATATATATTGTTAGGAAATAAGTAGCGCAGTATTATTAAGGTCGCATGGTAGGAAATAAGTTTGTAAACTGAAGCGGGATTAACTAGGGGTACAGTCACGTTTGTTTAATCGTGACAAGGTTAGGAGTATTGTCAGAGATGTGTGTCGCTTGGTCAGCAAGGACGATGTGATTGTCTCTGAGAGCTGATCAAGCGAGGATAGGCATCTTGCTTGACTTAACTTTCCACGAAATGTTGTTGAGTTAAGCAAGGTGATGCTTTCGATTTTTCATATAAAAGAGAGTGCAGGAAAATCGAGAGCAGAAGTTGGAGAACGACCGCCGAGTCGTCGCTAAGCGCAAAAGGTGTAAACTGCAAAAGTGAAATAAAGAGCTGTATTAAACGGAACACAGGGCGGAAATACTTCTCCCCGAACCTAATCACGGAATTTCCTGCGAAAAGAATCCAGTACCGTCGTGGCGGTACAACATTTTGGCAGCGGTGGGATAGATCAGAGTAGTCAGGAGGACATGGTCTATCGGACAGGAATCCAGAAGCATTGATTCGGGTAAAAGAAAGGAACGGTGAGTGAAAGGTAAAAGAAGAACTTCTTTTCCTTGTCCGGTTAAAAGGCGAATTTAGTGATATATAAAAAAAGATAGAAGATTGGCACGTGTGACTGGCATTAAAGTTCCTTGGTATCTGAAACAAAGAAGAGACAAGTTAGTCTCGAGTTACGAGCAATAGTACTGACCTACCGCAATTCAAACAGCGTGCGACGACGTAAACAGAATAGCCGAAGCAAGACACGGCTAAGAACAGCGGGATTACCACAGCATAAAAATACTACGGTAATCCAGGCAGAAGTAGTCAAAGATAACTAAAATTTTAACAACAGCAAAAAATTGAGCAAAAGTGGCGGATAATCGGAAGAAAAAATCCAGCGAAAAAGGCCGAATTAATTACCACGAGGAGCAGCAAGCGTTAGAAAGCAGTGTAAGCAAAGCAGCAGCGGCGGTAAGCAGCGGCGTAAGCAGAGCAGCGGCAAGCAGCAGCGGGGAGTGGTGCAACGGCAGTAGCAGCAGAAAGCATCGGGGACCAACAGCTGGACCAGAGGCATCGCAACATCGAGACAGGAATGCGGCTGTTAATGTAAGTTAGAATAGAACGTAGTAGAAAAATAGAGCGAATGTCTGAAAATTGGCAGCTGCAACCATCCAACAATTACGGTAATGATAGGCGCGAGACACAATCCGAACGAACAAGTCGGGTTAGGAATTTGATTCCGGTACCAGAGCCGAAAACAGCGCCGGCTGCATTGTACCAGGAACCAAATATATTCAGACGGACCGTGGTGTTTGATAGTAACGCGGAGTTACACTCAAACGTGGAACTCGAGCGGGAGTTTCTATTTGATCTTGACGGTAGCATTTGCAGGGCGGTGGTATCACGAGCAACGCAACTCACAGGCGTAAGTATTCACTAATCTCATTTGACAAGGGGAGACTACGATGATGGAACAATCGATTTGGACGAAATTTATAGGATCGATGGATGATTATGTGGAGTATTGCAGGGTAAAGTAATAAGACGCACTACTCAAGCATTCGCGAGAAAATCGAATTTGAAAATTTTGAGGTACCTTATGAGAATATTAAATAGGCTTCTTAATCGAAGAGCGTGTAGCGTAGCGGTAGCGTACTAGGTTAGGTTAGGTTAGGTTAGGTTAGTAGAGTCGACGCTGCTGGTTCGAGTCTCGATATACTTTTCTTTTTTTTTTTCAAATGTTACAATATAATCTGAATGTAAGTATTACGTTTTTTATTTATTTATTGCATGTTATAAAAGTGCATTTTTGCATTAAAAATCCTTGATTTAAAAAATACAATAAAAATAATTAGATTGTTACTAATTTGTGTTCTGTTTGTAAAAAACGGATAAATAATAGTACGCAACATGTAAAAATATATGCAACATGTTTTATTTATTGGAACTAGATGGGACCATACATAATGCAGAATGATATTTGTCATAAAAACAAGTAAAACAATAATTTTCACGACATTTTGCACATCGTATAAACGCTGCATTTTTACATTCACATGGTTTCTTTAAAATATTTATAGAAAAACATACTTCGTTGACATTCATAAATGTCTCTCTCTTGTTTGTTAATTTGGAAGCAAACCACGCATATTGTAACATATTTTGAAAACTCGAAGCGGACAATTGATGATGTATGATTAAATGAATTTTTATGCAATCTTCAAGAGATGTTATTTCACGGTTTTGTTCTATTAAAGTCGAACAATTTTGCAAACGCTTTATAAAATTTTTGACTTGTCTATAAAAATAAATTAATATTAAATATGAGTATCGTCCTCTGGCTCATGAAGTCTATTAAACTTAATAAATAAACAGTCTATGGAGCCGTTGCGCAGGATGTCTTGCGGAAAATATGTCTTATATGTGTGTGCACATATAAGTAAATTCACGTTTTTCACGTGTTTTTTCGAATTGAAATTTCAATTCATAAATTCATATAGGATGCTAGTTTTGCATCTCATATATGATAGTCCCCGAATACCCCCCCTAATTGATTTAAAATATTGCAAAAAAAACTCCTCAGCCAGGAGGAGTTTTTTTCGCAATATTTTAAATCCTGCGCAACGGCTCCATAGACTGTTTATTTATTAAGTTTAATATAAAAATAAACGTCACACAGTTGACATAGAGGTGTGCACTTTGGAGGAACAACTTTAATAGTACATGTTCTTGCATTGTCATTATCAAGAAAAATTTTGTTATACAATGCATTTATTAGTTTGACCAGACCACGAATCTATTATTAAAAGAAATTTTTCTTTTTTTACATATGGTAATAATATTTCTTTTAAATATTGTGTATACAGATTTGTTGTGAGTTTTCCGGACTTCGAAGATGTTACTGCAACATATGTATATATACTAGAAAACATAATAGTATGCAACATGTAAAACTGTTGCGTATTATTATGTTTTCTACTATTATTTATCCGTCTTTTACAAATAGAACACAAATTAGTAACAATCTAATTATTTTTATTGTATTTTTTAAATCACGGATTTTTAATGCAAAAAATGCACTTTTATAATATGCAATAAATAAATAAAAAACGTAATACTTACATTTAGATTATATTGTAACATTTGAAAAAAAAAAAGAAAAGTACAATATATCGAGACTCGAACCAGCAGCGTCGATATTACTAACCTAACCTAATCTAACCTAGTACGCTACTGCTACGCTACACGTTCTTCGATTAAGCAATCTATTTAATATTTTCATAAGGTACCTCAAAATTTTCAAATTCGATTTTCTCGCAAATGCTTGAGTAGTGCGTCTTATTATTTTACCCTGCAATACTCCACATAATCATCCATCGATCCTATAAATTTCGTTCAAATCGATTGTTACATCGTCGTAGTCTCCCCTTGTGAGAGTGACATTTTTCGTACGCGAGAACAAGTCGAAATGAGTATTGACGGTCCGGGACAAGCACGTGCACATACGCAATGAGGAACATAAATCCGGTCGATGAAAGGATGCTTTTGGAAGCTATATTGTGTACTAAGCTGAAAGGGCAGGCCTTGTTGGACTTTGAAACAAGACACATTCATGATTATGAGCAGTTAAAACACGAGATAGAGACTACGTATTCCGCGAAAAAAAATATGATGGAGCTACAAATAGAATTCAGCTCAGTGAAGCAAAAAAATGAGGAAAGTGCGTTGACTTTCGGTCAATGAGTAAACCAGCTCGCTATGGAGCTTTTCGAGTCTATGATAGACGGAAAGGAACGTACTACAGAACAAAAGCGCACAATACTGGAAACTATTAAGGAACAGGCCTTACATCATTTTCAGATAGGGCTACGTGAGGATCTTAAACTCATAGTACGATCGCGAAGGTACGGTACGCTCCAGGAGGCGATCGCCGGGGCGAGTGCCGAGGAAAAAGCCGCGGGGACGAGATCGAAAACTCGTGTGACTCCTCAAGTGCGTAGTAATAAAAATTATAGTTGTTACAAGTGTGGTAAAATCGGGCATTACGGACGGGATTGCCGATCCGTACGAGTCATTTTACCTAAGCCAAGCGGTAATCGAATAAATACAGTAGAAAAACACTGCAGCTATTGTAAAAAATCAGGGCATCTTCGCGACACATGTTGGTTACTAAATGAGAAAAAAAGTGATAAGAAATACACTGCCAGGGAAACAAGACGCATAACAAAAGATAAAAAACGACGAGACGACAGCAGCAATGAAGAAGAAGATGAAGGAAAAAAGAAAATTTTTTCTGTAACGGAGTTGCAGATAACCGAAATAAATACCACACAAGCTGGTTTGGATCTAGCGGTAATTCCTAAGAAGGAGGCTAGGAACGGCCGAGTAGAAATGTTATATGACACAGGCGCGACGGTGTAGCTAATTAAGCAAAAGTATTTAAAAGAAGAGACACCAACTAAAAAAACTAAGTTAGAATTAAGAGGAGTCACCGGACATAAAGCATGTGTAATCAAAAAAATCAAAGCCACTATTCAATTACAAAATAGTGAAATAAGGCATACGGTGTACGTGGTGAAAAACAATTTCCCGATAAAATATCAAGGAATACTAGGAAGCGACTTCATAAGGAAGTATAACGCTGTGCATAATTATAAAGAAGGTCGACTTGAGATAGGTCGGGATTACGTGACACTGCGCCCGTACCGATCCAGTACCGTTGTGGCGGTACAACAATATACATTTATAATATTTTAATTGTTTATTTCTTTTGTTCCGCATACACAAAAATAAAACAAGTGTGAATGTTTATGTATATTTTAAATATTTTTCGCTGTAATACTATACAAAACGAGTTTGTGCGTGTAAACAGAAGGAAGAAGTAGAAGCAGCAAACTTAAAAAAAAAAAAAAGAATCCAAAACCAGCAGGGCGCGAACACGCAACCTGAGGAGTACTTGCGCGGCGCCTTGTCCACTGCGCAACGCCGCCACTTTGATAAACCTCTTTTTAGAACTCTACTTATGGTACGTGCTAAATTTCAAACCGCAATTTCTCCTCAACGCTTGAGAGGTGCGTCGTCTCCGAATAGCATTTGGTGCTTCTCTATCCATACTACATTCCTACAAAGTTTCGTTAAAATCGGTGACCCGAAGAGTGTATACTCGCTTTGTCAGATTTACTCCTTCTACCTGCCTACGAGAAATGTCACACCAATTCTGGGACACCCTGTATATGTATATATGTTTGTTAATAGCTATTCAAAAGTATTTTTGATAATATACTGTACTCGGTTCAACGAGAGAATAGGACATCCAGTGTTTTGTCTTCCTTACAGCATGTTAAAGCGATGGACAAGATGCGCACAACAGTAGCGAGTTCTAATTGCATAAACTCGCTGCTGTTGTGCGCATCCCTTCCACCGTTTTAGCATGCTGTAAGGAAGCCAAAACTGTGAACACTGCACCCGCTCTGATAGCCACTTATCTGTGTTTTTGCTGTCATGTTGCCGAAAACAAAGCGTTTGAGTTGTCAGCAAACGAGGAGGGTCGATAAGGGAGGTTTTCGGCCTATTTTATTTTTTGGTAAAAAAAAGTGAAATAAATTTTTTTAAAATCAACTAACAATAATAAGTCGATTACACCCTAAACGGACCACTCTCATCCCCCTAGTTCCCCCCCGCCACCCTCTCAAATACTGAAAATGTCATGACTTACTCACAGCATTTTTGGAGAGATTCGGCGCATTCAAACTTGTATTTGCTTAATAAAATATCAATCAATCGCTCGTGAAATAGTCAAATAAATCAAAAGGCAGATACGAGCAGTAAAATACAGGTTGGTCGTGTATAAAAAGTTGTCTTTATTCAATAAATAGACGTTTCGGTCACACAGGTTTGGACCTTCTTCAGTATGAAAAATTAAAGTCTAACAAGAAAACAACAAAAGAAATAACAATAAATAAAATAAGCGCAACGCGAACAACATAGTAAATTAAAAATAATATATGAATAAAACTCACTTAAATAAGAAGAAACATTTTAGTACACTACATCACTGACAAATAAATGAAATGATGTCAATAAATTACAATAATACAATGTGTACTGGCAAGAAAACATAAAACAGCCAAATATATATAGATATCCCCACTATCAGATCAGAAAATCAAAAGGTTCACAATAAGTCGAAAAACATGTTTACAAATTAAATACAAAAGTAACGGTCTAAACTTTTGATCTATACAATTCTAAAAAGGAAAAGTAAGGTTTTAACTTGTCAGTGTCCGACATTACATTTATCGGATTGTCTTGTAACTTGATGTGGAGCATTTCTGAAACTGATCTCTTATAAAAAAATTTTTCTATATCTAAGATTGGAACGACGTTAAAATCTTAGATATAGAAAAATTTTTTTATAAGAGATCAGTTTCAGAAATGCTC